CAGCGACAAAATCATGTGGTTGGTTCCAATAAAAAAATCGGTTATAACATCCCTCACCGCCGGATGTAACATCCCTCGGCTTTCAAAATAAATGGTTCCAATAATGTCTCCATTGTCACACGCCATGGTTGGTTGCTCGCCATGGCTGGTCGCGCGCCACCGATGGTCACCAACATTGCACACGGCCTCTTGCAGCTCGTCCCGTTGTGACTTCTCCGTCATGTCATCTTCTTCGCCCCCGCCGTGGCTCGCCCTACCAGAAAGGGCACGTCATCGCGGTGCGCTGCGTATGTCGGCGAAGATAGGAGAAAAGGAGCAGTTGCAGAGTTGTAGGGAAGAAGAAGGCGGCGTACGTGGAAAAACCGATTTGAGGAGTGCTCCCGTGATGCATCTGGAAAAAACGATTTAAAGAGCGCTCATGTTTTGCTAAAAAAAGAAAGAGCGCTCCCGTAACGCACGATGGAAAACGATCGTAAGGCTCGGATGCGACCGGCCGAGCGTTCGGCCGGCGCCCCGACCCCAAGCGTTTCCCAATTTGGAAACCATGCAACGTGATCCGTGCAATCAGCAACTACAGAAACAACCTCGGCACACAAAAGACAAACAAGAAGCTAGCGCTAGAGCTACACAGTGACTACACAACGATGAAGCAATGAAGTTCAAAAAATTTGATTCAAAAACCTAAATCCACAAGGTGTTTGTACACCGTTGTGTACCAAAATAATAGCATGTGGCACATCCACAATTCACCATGAGTCATTTTCACCCAAGTGGCTAAACCTCAGCGCGAAAACCTTGTCTGGAATAGATGCTTGGTTATGGTTGAGTAGATGCATCTTATTATCATTTACATCATATAATCACATATACATAGTGGCGTGGGGTTTCTTCTTCTTCTCTCTCTCTCTCATGGCGTGGGGTTGCGTCCAACTCACACTTTTGCTCTTCTGTTTTGCATTTGTGCTGAGTAAACACTAAATGAGTAAACCTCGATGGAAGGAATAGTGAAGCCACGAATCTAAAATCACCAGATCACTCACTTAAGGTATGGAGTCATATTGATATGTGATTTTACGAATCATTGCCTACAAAGATAAAAATATATGTGTTAATTTCCAGTCACATGTGTTTTGTAGTATATTAATGCTGGACCGTGGACGCACTGCTCCAATTGCAAAGATAGTATTAATATTTGTTGAATGTACAGTAGCAAAATAGTAGTAATATTTGTTGAATGTGCAGCAACAAAGATAGTAGTAATATTTGTTGAATGTGCAGCAGCAAAGATAGTAGTAATATTTGTTGAATGTGCAGTACCATTTCACCAGCAGGATTTAAGCACTAACACAACCGCTTATGACAAATAGTACCTAAATTGTCTGCTATTAAATATAAGCATCCGGACACTAAATTAGACAAGGTCTGTACTGGTTCAGTTCACGTCTACTCCTATTTTTGCATTTTGTTGTGTTGTGCTTTTATATTGTGGGAACTAATTAGAAAAAGGTAATCCTTTTGTTTCAATTTGGTTACAATTTACTCTTGCTACTAAAACAGTAAAAATGAGTCCCAAGCCTACCAAGAACAAATCCCGAGATAGTTGGCACATTATTCTACTAGAATGACGAAGTGACTATGTATCTCACACACATTCTGCTTTATTAGCCTTGCTGGCTAGATAAGTATTTCACTTATGTACATTCGAAATTGTCATCTTTTTTTAACATCCATATGACTACTTCATTAGCCATCTGAATGTTTACTGCCATCCTGTTGAGCAGCACAAATTCAGAAAATACGCCTCTCGCGAGGTTCTGCTAGAAGATGGTGCTTGAAGTACCCAGCCTACTTAAGATGCAGGCAAAAAAAGTATGGAGAATGGCACTCCTGTGCCACTACCCATATACTAAGCCATGATGATCCTTCCAAGCTAGATACAACGTTCACATACAGTTACAGGGCTCGCAACACTCTTGAGGGCGCTGAAGAACTAGCAGCAGATAACCTGATAGCCTTTCTATGCAGAAAGTATAGCTTTGACATTAATGACATAAATTGGTATGAAAAATATATGTTTGCACGCAGTGCGTACAATAGGAGCAAAGAAGTGGGTAGGCTTAAAGAGGAAAATCATGCTCTACAGGAAAAAGTATAGGAATTGACCAATGGCTGGCGTAGCAATCTTGCAGATATGGAACACACATCACTGAGCAGATTTCTGATATTCGCTCCATGGTTTGTGATGTGTACCATACCACTGGCGTTGGTGTACTTCCTTCATGTGTAGTTTTTGACAGTGTGCTCGCTGAAGAGGAAGCTCTGGAAGAGATTCCAAGCTGCTGTTAGCGAGGAAGTGTAGTGATAATCATAGAAATATGCAAGCAAAAGACATGGAAATAAACGGGGCGCACCAGCAACAAGTTCTTTAATGTGATTTTTGTTTGCTTATATTAGTCCTATATGTAACATGTAGTTCTTTTCTTTTATACAGCATGTATTATATAAGAACAAATGTGAGCTCTGTTTCAATCTAATCACATGGATGTTCACTATTTTGCTACAATGCTGGTTTATACACTTCGGTATTCAGATTAGTCCTCAGCAAATATTCTGTGTATTATTATTGGTAATCAATGAAGAGCATCCTACTATGCTTGTCAATGAGGTAATAGCACCCCAGGTACCCTAACTTGCATCCAATGTGATGATTTAGTCCCAAAGTTGTAAAACTTGACCAAACCATACCCCAACTTGCACCTCATGTGATGATTTAGTCCCAGACCAATCACAGCTCGCCAATTGGCTGCCAAGTGGCTGGACCGGTCAGCGCACGCAGTTTTGCAGAAAACCCCCTGCCGTTTCCAATTATCAACCCGTTCTGTTCTTCGTAGCAGAGCAAAGCGTGCGGGTCGCCGGAGCTCCGCCCTCTGCCATTGGTTCTTTCTTTTTGCTGGGGAGGCATGCCTAGTCCTGACAGCATGCAACGCTAATGTACAAAATGGTTTCAGCGTCATAATAAATCAGGGGAAGGGCCCTTCCTTCAAGATATATATCATCAATACAGTTAATTCATTATACAAAACCTGTACGTGAAGCCAAAGAATCTACATGTACAGCTACAAATGCATTTGCAACCATAAGCATTATAGTACAATTTTGAAAACATGACAATACATAACTTAGGCAGTCAATGCGGCTCCATTCAAGGGATGTACAACAGATGACAGCAAATATTAGATGGACACATGTCATAATCTTAGATAAGCACTGAATAGTAAGAAGGGAACAAGAGCTCTGATTGTTGAGATCTAAGCCAGATACCATGAGGAAAGCCTCCCGCCACTGGTAAATGCTAGGCGTGGGCGCCAATAGGGCTGGAAACTTGATACCGAGGGGGGAAAAGTCTATCTCTGAACTCTGAATAAAAAAACATAGATGAACACACGAACTTACACCACCACACGCATTTCGACAACGCCTACGAAAGACTAACTCTTGAACAATTTTTTAGTATAATATTTTTCGAAATTTTCCTAATTGCTCCAAAAGCCATAATGTTTTCTTCCTTCTGAACAATAAAGCAACTTTCACAAGCCATGTAAACATTCTCAATGTGACAGCTGAACCTTTTCCTGTACTTTTCAGAAACTTCATTTTCCCAGCAAAAACCATAATGTTCGCTTCCCTCTATATAATTATAATGGAACAATTTTCATAAGCCTGGTCAGCATTCTCGTTCTGGCTTCTGACTGATGATCTACGGGAAAAAATTTATGAGGTATAGGCACATTTAAGAAAACGAAACAGTAATGCGAAGAAACAATTGTTGTAGAATCTACCCACTCGCTAGGAAAGTTCCGAACCTAAATCACAGCCAATGAAATTGCTTCCCTCGAGCTATTAATAGTGCCATTTAGATCACGCCTAACTCTGAATGGTGAGGTCAGATACTGTAGGTTCATATGCTATGGTGGTGACCAATCTCCAAGCTGACATAACCCTGTTAAAAAATGCTCGAACGGGTCAAGTTGAGTCTTAGTTTGAAAACAAAATGAGTCAAGTTGAATGGTAGTATTTGGTTGGATAATTATTTGTACACAATTAGTCTTTCCAAACTAAATCAATGAGCAAATAAGTAGACACTGGATGAGTTTTGCACTTAGAAGCATTTTACCGAGCACCTTCCCTGCTGTCTTGGAGGCTGACGGGGCTTGCTTCAAATGACGGCGGCAGGGTGCTGCAGTAGGCGAGGGCATAGGGCTGCAAGGGGAGGCATCGTGGCGGCACCGAAGCAGCATCGGAGGGTGCCGGGGGGCACCTCGTCGGAGCGGCCTTCGGGCCGGCGCCGGCAGACGTAGGCGAGGCACAGAGCAGCGATGGGGAAGCCTCGATGGTGGAGCCAAAGCTGCATCGGAGGAAGCCGAAGGTGTCATGGGGATGGGACTCCTTGTCGGAGTGGTCGAGATTGCCGGTTGCGGCCCGCCGGAGACGACGAAGTTGGCCGCCCCGGAGACGACGAAGACGACGAAGTCGGCGGAGACAACATAATTGAAAACGGCAGGGGGTTTTGTGCAAAACTGCCGGCGCTGACCGGCCCAGCCCAGCCAATAGGCGAGCTTTGATTGGCCTGGGACTAGAACATCACATTGGATGCAAGTTGGGGTATGGTTTGGTCTAGTTTTGCAACTTTGGGACTAAATCATCACATTGTGTGCAAGTTAGGGTACCTGGGGTGCTATTACCTCCTTGTCAATCTATAACTCCTCCTTAAAGCCAAGTTGGCCAGACTGTCAACTTATTTCACATCGTGTAGTGAGCCAGGGCGTTTTTTTTCTTTTCAAAATCACATTTAAATCCGGACAAAACATACTAGCTCGACCCATACTCACCCCACACACAAAAAAAAGGGAAATAACAGCCAAAAAAAAGGGAAGACGTCAAAAAAAAGACTCGCGCAGCAAAGCGTGCGTATCCCGCTAGTATCGATTATGCCCGGAGATCTACTCTTCCTTGGTAGGATCGAGCACATGCCCAGCGAAGACAACGGTGCCTGAAGTCTCCTCAACGATGAAGAAGGCGAACGGGTGGTCGGCGACGAAGTCCACTGTTGGAGGTGGTGGCACGTACTCGTAATCGCAGTAAAGCGAGAACCCCAAGTCGTCGTCTGACTCCACGGTGACGGCGGCGGCCTCGCACCCCTCCTCGTTCATCTCCACCACCGCCTTGTGGACAACCTCGCTTACGCACAGCGGCACGACCGACTCGTCGTCCCCGACGATCCCGGTCATGTTGGCCAGAAGGGGATCGAAGGGCAGCCGGAGGCCCAGGTCTTTGAGAACGCCGCGGATGCTGCTCATGTACGTCAGCTTGAACTTGGGCAGCCGGAACTTGCCGACAGGGACATGGTCCCTCGGCAGGTGCTCGTGTAGGAACTCTGGGCGGGCCGTGATCCTGTCGAGCAAGCTCCACAGGCCGTCGCAGTCCTCGGGGAGAAAGACGCACATGGAGAACTCCGGGAGGCCCTCCCGCAGCTTGGAGTTGTACGCCGGCGGGCTGTCGTCGTTGTACGCCTTGTACGGCAGCTTCAACACCCTGAACCCATCGTGGCACGCGATTTGCTGGTACATCCTCCACGGCCTCTGCAAGAAGGGCACCTTGCCCACGATGCTGCCGTCGAGAAGTTGGAACTCATCGTCGACGGTGTCGTCCTTGTGGAAGGTCTTGCGCCACTCGCCCTTGAAGTAGATGGCGTTAGCGACCACGTGGAGGGTGTGGCTTTTCTTGTATGGGTCGAGAACCTCCGTGATGAGGTTCCTCGTCGCCTTGGCCACCCATGCGTTTATTTCTTTCCTTGATTCCACTGGCTGCACACAAAACAAGTGTTGAATTTAAAAAGTCGGTTGATCGCCCTGTTAGAATTAATTAGTTCAAGAGCACATGTCTATTGTGAAGTGTGCCTCCAGAACAGGCACCTCTTCTTCTCACATCTTTCATAAAAGCTTGTATAGACGTATATGATTGTGTCTAGGTATTTAACATCTGTATCTAGACAAATCTAAGACAAACTTTTTGGAACGGAGGTAATACTTGAGAATAAATAGAAATCAGGCCTAACCGTCTATTCACTTTCAATCTTATTTTACTCTAACAGAAAATTCAGACAACTTACAAAATAGCCCCATGCGGTGTGGATTATCAATTCATGGAACAATAATTCAGCATAATTGACCTCACGTAGAACTTCTATAAGACAATGAGATCTGAACTATATAGACACGTGATAGCTTTTTTTTTCAGTACGAAGATGAGAGTTGAGACATGTATAGACGTACACGATTGTGGAAGTCGACGGCCCATGTCTCGCCCTTGTACGTGCCGACCACGGTGTCGCGGTACGCGGGCTTGAGCGGCCACCTCTTGTCGCTCCACGCGCCGCACGCGAAGGCCACGGCCGGCCCGCCGATGCCGGATCGGTCGGTGAGGACGCGCTCCACCACGGCGCCCTTGACGAACGCCTCGAGCTCGCCCCGGGACGGAGCGCCGGCGATCGCCAGGATCTCGCCCAGGGTGTCGCCCCCAGCGCCGGCCGACATGAGCGCGAGAGCCACGTGGATGGACAGCGGCGAGAAGATGAGGTTTCCGCTGGTTCTTTCCGCCGCGACGCGCTTGAGCAGCCGCGCGGCCAGCGCCGTCTGCCCGTACTGGCAGGCTCTCATGTCGCCTTCCTCGATCGAGCTTCTTCTGGCTAGGTACTAAATACTAATACACCACACGGTAGGTTTAGGCAGGGGCGAAATTGGGCCTGTGGCAACTGGGGCTGTAGCCCCAGGCATGGCCCAGCTAGCATCTATATGCATAGTAAAAAAAAATCAGAAAATGGGATACATAGCAGCCCAGCCCCAGGCTTCAACATAGACATACTCACGTACAAGCGTTCAGCCCATTAGCCCAACTCAATCGATCGATCAGAACAGAGAATGAATCACGCAGTACACGGTTGACGTTTCGATCTCTGATCTCTAGCCTGATCGTTCGTCAATCAAGAAAGAGAAAAAACACCCCTCGCCTGATCGCGTCAACAGAGAGCCCAATGCCCCAAGCACTGCGCCGCCGCTCTCCTCAACCAACGATTGGCGATTCCCCGCCGCGCCAGCCACCGGGTCCGGCGTCCTGACAACCCGCCCGCCATTTGTTCTTCTCCATCTGATTCCGAATTGTAGTGCACGCACTTAGGCCAACGCACACTGGCCGCACAGGTAATTTGTACTTATCATCTAATTTTGTTTTCTCTAATTTCTTTATATCCGCCAAACTTAGTGAGTTATATTTACTTAGTCAATTTTATTTCATTTGTTGTCAGCAAATTAGACGTACAAGATGAACAAGAGGACTCGTACAATTAAATCTTTCTTTCAGTCAACATCGATCAGCCTTCAGTCAACAACACCAACAACGTATCACCTACAGAATCAATACCAGTTGGAGCTAGTAATGCAAAAGAAAGTGAACCAGTTGGAGCTAGTAATGCAAAAAAAAAAACCTCTCATGATAATAATGAATTTATATTTCGTTTTGAACGTGAGTTTGTGGCATACTTATAATGCATATTGTTGTTCGTAATTTTGGCCAATTAGTTTTAGCCCTAGGCTTTGCGAAATCCTGGTTCCGCCTCTGGGTTTAGGGTTTAGTCAATGAACTTTCTGGCTATTTATTAAGAGGGTTTTTCTAGGGGTATCACGTCAGCGTTATTTTTTTATTTTCCGATTTGGCCCAGCGAACCAGCGTGCCACGCCACGCCACGCGCAGGCTCCCAACGAGAGCCAGCGTTTTTAGTCGAATTTTACAATTGTTTTTTTATACTTATGTCGTTTTTTTTACCTATGTCGGTTTCTAATTTAAAACAAATCGAAAAATTAAAATATTCAAAAACTGTTTACGGATTAGGAAAATGTTCGCGAATTTAAAAATTAATGAATTCGAACCTTGTGAGATGAGATCGCTGTCGTGGTGTTTCTATGGATGCTTGCTGAGAATCAGGCCATCAGCTTCAGCAGTACCCTTGCAGCATCTGAAATCCCTGTAAATAAGGTTCTCGAGTCATGGAAGGAAAACGCAAACTGATGCACCATTGCTATTGCACCGTTTCTGAAATGTGATCACATCTACAGGAGATGATTGCGAGATGCTATGAGCCGTTGGTGAAGAAGAGAGGGAAGTTCAGTGCCGCTGATCCCGGTCGCGGGCTTCAGCTTTAGGAGTGATGATGACACACGGCACTAGGATCATCACCCTCAGACAACAACAGCAGGCCTCTACTCCAGCTTCCAAGAGGAGAAGGCTAAGCACATGACCAATCTGATACTGATACGCCCTACATACATAACCTGCAGGCGCTGCTCTCGGCTTGTTCATTGAGTTGTCATCGATCTTACCCCAGCCCAAAGCCCACAGATAACCATGAAAGGCAAGTTGTGTTGCAACAACAAGTATTGAGCATTCCCTTCTCCAAGGGCTTTTCAAGGAGATCAAGTTTGTGGATAGTATGAGATTTGATGATATGGGAAAATCAACAAAAATGGTTTGTTACTTTATTTGTTCACCATGTGAGGAACTATGTTTTTGTTTCAGTTTTTCTTTGCCTGCATTCCAGTGCTCGAAAAGGAAGTGCTGCTGATTCACCAATGCATTCGTTCCTCTTACTGGGGTGACAACTTGTTTGTGTTACTATTCCAAGCCACATATTTTTATGAGAGAAGAGAAGAGAACCAATCATAAGTGCAAACCATGGTATGGCTTCCCACATATAAAACAAACGGTATTTTTTTTGTTATGTGAGAGATGGAGTAGAGCAGATGACAAACATATAGGCTCCCCAATCTGTACTCCCAATTTTCCATTAGTAGTAGTTGAAAACTAATGCAGTAGGTTTCTCATTTGTTGCAAATCGATACAGAGGGAGTACATATAGTGGCCGGCCCAG